AGACCAAGAGGCAGTTAGTGAGTGGAATGGTTAAGCCAGGACAACACTGTCCAAATGGGCACGTATGGGCTCAAACAGGAGACAGGACAGAACAGAGTTAAGGCCAAATTGAGGAGAAATTTAATATCCACGTTAAAGAGTTTAGGCAATGAGGTAATGATGGGCCTCTAAAGGTTTCTGAACTAAAAAGTAACACCATGAAAAGACTGCTTTAAGAAGATCATTTGACAGTGAATATTCTCAATATCTATTAAGGTTTCTTTGCCTCTTAACCAAAAATTCCAAAATCTAATTATACAGTTTGGGTCTTTATTTGCTCTATATCTGTATTTAGATGCCTTACCATATCACCAGAAACTCATCATCTTGCCTCCAAAATCATTTCCCATACTACATTCCCTAACTTTCCCAGCATCCATACGTCAGCCTTCCTTATCTTCTATTCCTTTCCTTCTTCCGTTTCTCTCCTCCCTCCTTCCCTTCCTTTCTAGACACAGGCAATCATCAATTCCAACTGAATTCTCCTTTATAGTCTTGAGAATCTACTCGTTGAGATATCCACCAACAATTCCCCATTTCAGGCATTTCTGCAATGGAGAGTAGAACTGGCATCCCTTTAGCCAGTATTTTTGGCATCCAACTCATACTGCACACAATGCCTCTTGACACATGTTTTCAAATACCCCACACCTCATGTTTCTGTCTTCCAGGCTCTACTCTTTGCCTGGAATGGCCGGTCACCTCTCTCAGCCTGGGAAGGCCATAACTTTCTTTTCAGATCCAGCTTAAATTCAAGGCACATTCTCTAGGCATTTAGGCACTCTCTCCTCCATACTCTCAGGACTCCTGATAAATACTCTTATTAACAGTGGGTATTTTTTACTGTGACTGTTCTGTGGCACTCTCCCCAGTTAGACACTAGGACACTATAAGGTAGAGATCATGTCCTGCTTATCTGTATCCCAGCATCCAGCATGATACCCAACCCAGTGAAGTTAACACATATATTTGCTGAATTAAAGAAACTGGATGATGTCTTAAGTCAAAAACTAAAGACTATTCCCCTGGAAGCTCTCCCTATCCAAAGACCTACCCAACTTCGTCACTCAATAAACATTTCATTAAAACACTTACACACAGTATTTAACAAGGTGTTGGTGATCTGGGCCTATCTACAAACTCAACCTGATATATCACTCACCACTATGTACCTTGTTTTCAAGAACACTCAACTATCTGTAGGTCTCTGGACATCCTCTCTTACTCCTCCCTGCCTCTATACCTGCTGTTTTGTCTGCTCGGGAGTCTTTCCGACTGCCTGTCTACCTAGGAAATTTCTGTTTATTCCACTTTTGTCTGGTTGCTGTCTCCTTAGTAAAACCGGCTCTGACTTCTTTCTTTTCTGATCTCCCTAGACCCAAGAACACCTCCCTCACTGCACTCATTACTTTATGCTGGATCAGTTTTTTTCTTTATCTGTTTCCACTACTATTTCGTAAACTCCCTGAGTATCAAACCCTGTTGTGTTTATCTCCGTGTTCCCGATGCTCAGCCTCAAGGCCTAGAGGAGGGGAAGGAGAGGGAAGAGAAATAACAGAAGTAGCTGACATTTCAAAGCACCTACATTACCAAGCATTGTTTCTAGCACATTACACTGACTACTTCTTTAAGTACTTCTTCCTATTATGCCTATTTCGTGGTAAAACTAAGATAACAGAAAGGTTAAGAATTTGCAATTCTAGTCCCAAGTGTGGTAAGTAAAGAAGCCGGAGATCTTAATCCAGGTGGTGTGGCTATCCTTTGGTCTACTGCCTTTCTGGAATGGTGTCAGCAAACTCTCTCTGCCAAGGACCAGATAGCAAATATTTTAGATTTTGTGAGCTATTTAGACTCTGTCACAACTACTCAACTCTGCTTTTGCAGTGCAAAAGTAGCCATAGCCCATATATGGCTGTATTCCAGCAAGAGGCTATTCTACAAAAACAGGCGGTAAGTCTGATCAGGGCTGTAAGCCAGTTTGTTCATCTAGAAATTCAATAAATGTTCATCAAATTAAATTGGATCTAATGATGTTGGAAACCAAAACCTTCTCCCTGCCCTCAAGGAAAACTTTTTCCCTTATCTTATCCTAAAGCCCTCAGCAGTTGCAGCCTTCAAGCCTTTACTTGGCAGGCAAATCCACTGCAGGCACTCAAAAACCAGTTTCAGAACCGAAGTCAATGGGATGGACATGGGGCCCTGATCTTTGTGCTAAGCTCCCACCCCTGAACTCCACCTCAAGAGACTGTTGGATCTTAGCCAGATGTCCCTGCCCCCAGCAATGAAGTCTCACAAATAGATAACCTTTACTTCTAAGAAGAGAAGCTTCTCCAAGGTTCTAGCCTGTACCTCCAATCCTTACCTGGCCTCCATCTGAGGTTTCTCATGTTATAAGTATAAATACAATATTACCGGAAACAGCAGGCAAACAGAAAAAACTTCCACACTTAAGTGGGCCACAAGTTTCAACCCTAAGCAGTGAAGACTTCTTGGTGTTCCAGAATGTTGTTCCACAGCAGTCATGAGCACTGCTCTAACCTGGATCTTTTTATGTAAGTAGTATAATAATGAGAAAAGTAGGTATGAAAAAAAAAAAAGGATGAGAAAAAGAGGAGCTTATTGAATTGTAAATTTTTTTTTTCACTTCACCTCAGTGACATAAACCCCACCCTACAAAAGAACCATTTGAATTGACATATACACACTATTACATATAAAAGATAACTAATGAGAAGCTACTGTATAGCCCAGGGAACTCTATTCAGTGCTCTAATGACCTACATGGGAATGGAGTCTAGAAGAGAGTGGATATATGTATATGTATGGCTGATTCGCTTTGCTGTACAGCAGAAACTAACACAACATTGTAAATCAAGTATACTCCAATAAAAAACATTAATTTGAAAAAAAAGAACCATTTGCTTTATATTTCACAATATTTTGACATCCTATTGGAACTGAGCAGAACCCTGCAGTACCCTCCTCCCCCCCATTACAAAACCAAGAAGTTAATGACTAGGACAATAGAGTCAGAGACTCAGTGTCTGATGTACATTCCTGAGTTGTTTCACAGATACTATAACTGTCACCAGAGAAAACAGCTAACTGCATGGTGGCCAGCTGTAGCCATGACATAAGCTACTCCAACTTGAGCAGTACTGAGTCTATCGCTAGCACAATTCCAAGAACTGGCCTCAAGAGAATGGGATTAACATTATTGCTCATAATAATCTATATCTTTGTGGGCATCAAAATAATTGTGGTTTGCTCTGCCTATATATGTAAGTGGACAACTAAAATTGTCAGCAACGAGATGCTATAGACCCATGATGACACCTTCCACTCTGAGAATACAGCACCCTATGTCAGAATGAAGAAGGTACAGAAGATAGACCTTCACCCCTAATCCCATAGAAATGGAATGATGTTCTGATAAGTGGGGATATGTAAGCAGCTCTTTGCAGGAAACCACCCTCAGCAGGAAGCCCCTGTTCTTGTCACATTAGCAAAGTTATATTGTAACTAACTCTTAAACCAGGCAGGCCCATGCTCTACTCATCTCAGGCCCAAGCACACCTTTCAAATCTTTTAATCACACAAAACCCTGCCTAACTTGTTGGTTCTTTCCATTGATCAAAGTAGAAATGAAGAATAAGTAATTAGCAGATGACCAGATCTCTTCCCTAGCTTCCCCTTCAGTAATCTCCTGATCAAACTGTGTGAACAAGATAACATCTAGAGGAAGATCAGGAGGGGTCAACAAGCCTGCACACAAGCCTGCACGCAGTGAGGGATGGCAACAACTCTGACCCCCATCTCAATGATTAACTGGGGTTACTTTTCTGTTTCCCTTTAAAAGATTTCACGGCCTAGCAGAATCTTCGGAGATGTTTTTTGTTTGTTTGTTTGTTTGTTTGTTTTGCGGTACACGTGCCTCTCACTGCTGTGGCCTCTCCCGTTGCGGATCACAGGCTCCGGACGCGCAGGCTCAGCGCGGTCATGGCTCACGGGCCCAGCCGCTCCACAGCACGTGGGATCTTCCCGGACTGGGGCACGAACCTGTGTCCCCTGCATCGGCAGGCGGACTCTCAACCACTGCGCCACCAGGGAAGCCCGGAGATGGTTTCTGAGGGATGCTGAGTCCACCATTTCCCCAGATTGCCGGCATTCTGATTAAAGGCACCTTTCCTTTCTACCAGCATTTGTGAGCACATAATTGATTTTGTAAGCAGAGAGCAGCGGGACTCGATTTGTTCCATAACACTATGAAGTACATGTCCTATTATCCATTATCTTCAAAACAGGCAATCACAGAACTAGAAACAAAGTATACCAACTGCATGACAAGGATCATATGTGCTGCTCATGGACACTCAGACCAGAGAGGTTAGTATAATATCCTGATTTAATTCTAGTGAGAAATACTTTGTTGTTGAAATTCACCGAAGAAGGTAACATAACTTATCCTAGGTGCTACAAGATGCTTCCCAACAGAAAAAAAAATTTTAAACAGCAAAATAAACTATAAATGTACATTTAAAATATTATTAGATCATCACTTTGGTTTTTGACCCCTAAACTGAGTTGGGCTCACATTTGGAAAAGTGCATGACGCTGCCAGTGAATTTACCCTACCCACTGTAATTCTGTGGTTGCCATAGGCCAGAGAGGGAGAATTACAATGGTGAATTACGAACTTCTTGAGGGCAGGAAGTATGTATTATTCACCTTTGCCTCGCCAGAAAATCTGGCATATAGCAGACCAGGAAATGTTTGTTAATAAATGAATGAATGAATTTAATGAAGCCAAGAATCTAGATAATTAAGTTTGCCGAAACACACATGTTCTCCAAATTCCCTCAAGCATGCTTCAAAATCAGTATAATCCATAGGGACATTGGAAACTTTCCATCTGTGAGTGGGGAAACAACCCATGCCCTTATTTTCTCCAGCAGACTCACCGTCTTGAGTGTTTGGACTCAGGATTTGGGTCTTGAGTTCCTGCAGGCTAATTCCCAGACACCTGCAGATCTCCTCAGGGCTGTAGGGTTCAGAATGAAGGGTATCTTCTGTGATCAACAACATTTCTTCCAGACTGACCTCCAGCTTGGCCTGCACCTCCTCCAGCCGCAACACTTCCTCCCATGGCAAGCATTTGTGCTTAGCCAGGAGCTGCAAGTTCAAACCAAGATAATCGTCAGTTTTCATTTCAGATATTGATATGCACTATTTTAATGAGCCAGATTCAACTTCAAGCTTTTTTGTTTCCATTCAACCTATCCACAATTCCCACCATTGCTTGAAAATGCACGCTCGGTTCAGATGTTTGAGATTAAACATGCTTGTGTGACACTCACAGGCTAGTTGAGTATTTTTCCTAAAAAAACTAATCCTCCACTGATTTTTTTGCCTGTCACCACTTTCCCTCAGGGCTATTTCTTTGAATAATTTTGTCCTTTTGTCCCTATTCAGTTCATCCCCAATACACCACTCTCTATAAAGTCTACAGAAAACTATTCAAATCTCACATGATCTGGGTCCTGAGGTGGGCACTGCATGCCCGATTTCATTTGAGCACTTCCTGTTTACAACATGCCTCTTTGAAATGGCTAATGAACTTAAGTATCTGGGCGTTTGGAGTCAATTCCCAGATTTTAAATGAAAACCTCATTGGTGACCTTACGAAACACCACTGCATTAGGTCATTGGTGTAGTAGAGCTGTATGTTTCTCCACCCTCAAGAAAAGAGTTTGGCTTCCAGTTGCATCCTGAGGCACCCCCTCAATCTACTGCAGAGGGTGAGATATAAACCAAACCTTTGTAAACTGGTCCACTCATGGGAACCTCACTCCAGAATGTGTGTCCCTCATTTTTCCCAAACCACCCTTCGGAGCAGGTAACAATCAAAACGGTGAAGGTATCTCTCACCCTGAGGTCTACAAAATTCATTCCCCAGGTGTGAGGACCGCAGGTGCAGACAGCACAAATGGCAAAAAGAAGCAAACAAAGGAAGGGGAAATGTGCATCTGATTTACTCTTCTATTATGCCGATGATTTGATTTTCTTTCTTTTTCACAGGAAGCAGATTTACCAAAAGACCATTGTACTTGGTTAGGGCCACTCACTTCTGAAGAATGTTAATAACAGTAGTTCTTATATTCATTAATCCTCTTTTTAAAACTCTGGCTCATACATTTGAAAGGAGTTAATGATTTTAAGGTAGAACTGGTGAAAAAGACAATAGAATTACATTTTTCTGTTCAGTTATTTCACAGAACATGGTGCCATTTTTTTTTTTTTTTTTGCGGTATGCGGGCCTCTCACTGTTGCGGCCTCTCCCGCTGCAGAGCACAGGCTCCGGACACGCAGGCTCAGCGGCCATGGCTCACGGGGCCAGCTGCTCCGCGGCATGTGGGATCCTCCCGGACCGGGGCACGAACCCGTGTCCCCTGCATCGGCAGGCGGACTCTCAACCACTGCGCCACCAGGGAAGCCCCATGGTGCCATTTTTAAAGCAGGGCTACAAGCTAAGACCTTTCTTCTGACCTTGTTTGCTTAGCACATTTAATGTTTATTAGCAGTGCTAGATTGACGCCTCCATAGACTAACTCATTCACTCATTCAACTCATTCATTCATGGTCTCTATGCCAGTGTATTCCAAAAATAATTTCAGAAAACTTACAGACATACATAAAACAAAAGAAAAACATACAATATATTTATTTTATACAGAAAAAGAGCTGAAGTGGATGATCTCCTAGAATTACACTTCCTCGAAACACAGATCCAAATCCAACTGAGGTAAACAATGAAGTTAACAGAAATAATTCACACTTGTATAGCGCTGTGTGATTTAAACGTGCTTTTTATTTCTTTTCAGCCTTGACAGCTCTGTGAGATAGGTATTATTACCCTATTTAAGAGATGAGAGTGACTTGCCCAAAGTCACCTACCTAGTAAGAACAGAGTTGGAAATTTAACCCGAGTCCTGTACCTCTTTCTTGCTTCCCCAAGGCCACATTCTCAATGGGCTATGCTTGATATCCATGTCACACTACTCATTTTAGCTCAAATCACCACTCAAGTTTTAGAAATGGTTTCTAAATACAAACTAATTTTTGTGTTAGAAGTGAACATTCCAGTGATTTAAAACACTTCGATAGATGGGTTCCTTCTAAAATAAGAAGGAAATGGAAAAAAAAAAATCAAAGAACGACCCCCAAGTGATGAGAATGGGCTCTTCCTAAGAACCTTGCAGTAAACAGCATCTCCAAGTTCCCAACCCTGACCTCATGTGAACAAGTCACTTTGCCTCAGGCACTTGATCCCAGGAAACTGGCCCAGGACTGTGTGGGGAGAAAGTCTTCGAGGGTTGCCTGCTGCCTACAGAGCTGTTTTCAAAGGCAGCCTCCCAATGCACTTTTGTTCCACAAACAGAGGCACTAACATTCACTCTAGCAATATCCCAGTTTGCTGTTCGGCCGGCTTAGCTCTCAGCTGGAGGGTCCACGTGGCCAACTGGGTGTGTATTTCAATTAAGAATGAAACCTACCACATGCCCTCAAGGACAGCTGCACAGCCATGAGTCGCTGAGTGCACTACATTGTAGGAGTAAAATCGGAAAGCTGCTTAAGCCCTCTAAAATTTGGCGCAGGAAACAGAAAGATGACTTGCAGATGAGGCAAGTGGGTGGGTAAGATCTGTTGCCCAAGACAGAACTTCATGAGGGCATTTGCCACTCACAGCCCTGTCGCCTGGCCCTACTTCACATTTGTGAAGCAGGGCTAGGAGTCAGGGCTATGGGTCATTTTGTGACAAGCTCCTCACTCAGCAGCAGGGTGGGGATATACGGGAAAGCAATTCTTTGTCAACATCTACCATTTTCTTTTCACCACTATAAACATTAGGTGTTTATTTCCGATTCCATTCCTGGGAGGTTCCTGAGCCTGGCTGATGCTCTGTGGACAAGAAAGCAGGCAACGAATATTTTGTCCACAGTCATGGAAAGAGGTAGATAAATAGTGCTAGGACCCTGTCTTAGGTTGGTTTCTCTCGGAAGCAGGCCCTGAGACAAGAATTTAGGGGGAGAGGGAGACACAGAGAAGTGCTGGTAGAGGAGTGGAAAATGAGACAGGAAGAGAAGCCAAGATGAAGTGCAGTGATGTGAGAGGTGAAGCGGGGCCTGCTGGACCCTCTGGGACCTGTATGTATAAAGCTCGGATGTGTCCTACGCATAGACAAGAAAGCTCAGATATTTACCTGCTAACTCTCATCCACCATTGATTGAGGGCTGATTCCAAGGGTGTTAGCTCCCCAGACTTCCAGGCTGTCTCATGTGCAAACTCAGCGTTCTCCTGCAGCTAGAAGACATCTTCAGTCTGAGAGGGTCTCTGGGGCTTCTATTAAGAGGGTGTGGTAGGAGAGTGCTAAGATGTGGACTCGAACTCAGGAGGCTGTCTGTCAGAACCCACCTCTCTCTGATGTTCTCATTGCATTTTACAAGTCAACGGAAGTGTCAAGTCTTTCTCCTCACCAGGTCAGCAAAGGATAAAATTTCAAATCCCTTCTCTGACAAGTTGTTTTCCACACAACAAAAGCAGCTGTGTTGTTGTTGGTTTGGGTTCTATAAATCACCCATGCTTATATTTAAAATTTGAAGAAACACATAACAATTTGAAGTTTAAAAAAATTACAAAGTATAAAATAAATCACCTGTAATCATCCCAATAAGATAACCACCAATCTCCCAACTGATACCCTATGATACATTTTTTATGCACACTTCTTACACACGTACACACATACAGTTTGACATAAATGGGATCATACATAACTGTTTTTATTGTGGATACTTTTTTTTTTTTTTTTGGCTTATCTCCCCCTCACCCTCCTCCAACTTCATGGAGCCATTCCACAGTGACTTCATGCCCATGTTCCGCTCATAACCATCATGAACACATTCACAATGTTGACCTTCCCCAGTGTTGGTCATCCCCACTCTCCACGTTCTCCAAAATTCTCCTGAATTTTCCTGGTTTCCCTCTCACCTCTCTGGTCCTTACATTTCCACCCATGACTCAGTTTTCTCCTTTCATTATTATTGAAGCCATCTCCCAAATTTAACCCCCGGCCTTCTGCTCTTCTCTTGCCACATTCTCTCCCTCAGCAAACTGAACTCAGTCCTTGGTTTCAACTATTATCTCAAAATAGTTGAAAGACTATTGTCCAAGCCAAGAGAAACATTCCAACCTCAAATTTCTAACCACTTACAAGAAAATTCCATGGGGAAGTATCATCACCTCCCACTTTCATATCACCTTCCATCCTACCTTCCCCATATCTATGAGTGCTTTCCACCCATCATTTCAGCTTAAAACTACAGCCCTTTTCGACTCAACACTTAGCCTTTACCTGCACATGTCTGCATGCCATGCGTGTTCACTGCAGGGTATGAAGCACTCATGGCTCCTGACTGCAGGGAGCTCAGAGTCAACCCGAGGAGACAGGCATCAATTAATAATTATATAGTGAAGAACTTACTCCATTTGTGATAAACTACTATAATGGAAAAATACAGGATGTGGCAAGAGCATATAAAAGGGCATTTAACACAATGGAAGTGGGGAGGGTGGTCATTCCTCAACGTAATGGCATTGAAGCCAAAAGGAAGACAGAAACCCAATCACAGACAGCCTTATACCTGACCCTTTACTAGGTTCTGTCAGAGCTTCTTCCGTATCCCTCTCTTGTTATCCTGTCCCCCCTGACACTTTAAGACCCACTTCTCTTCAACCAAACAAAAGTTCCTGCTGCCAGCTTAATATTTCTAGAATACCTTGCTAACATTTGCACTTCCAGGACCAAGCCTGGGTGATCCTCAGTACAGCACTCAAGGTCCTGCTACACCTGGTTCCACTATTCCCCAGTGTGTGCGTGCTCTGCCCTGCAGCCAGGACTCACCGTCCTGGGATACTCCACACCAGCACCCTGGCAGAGTGAGCTCAACTAAATCAACAGGCTGAGTGAAACTGGCTACATTCCTGGGTGTTTGGTTTTTCTCCACTCAAATTCAAGAAAACTGCAGAAGCCCTGAGAATATTATACCACTTCTCCTCACCAGACAAAGAATAAGCTCCATATTGACCACTAAGTGGCAGGAGCTAAAAAAAAAAAAAAAGAACTGGATGAGTGATGGCCGCTAACCAGACACGCTCTGTAAAAAATCACACTGTAAATTTTCCTTGAAGCGTCAAAGGACCACATGAAACCCTCTCCTTCATTGCTTCACATGTTGCCACAAGAAGCTCAGGGTATGCAAAATGCAACAGCATAATTTCCCTTCCCTTTTTGACTTCCCATACTTATTATCAGCATCACACATTTTATCCCTCAATATAATTAAGAGATACTCTTTTTTATAGACATAAGGCAATTCTGGGAAAAAAAATTTTTTTTAATTTATTTTTGGCTGCATTGGGTCTTCGTTGCTGTGCCTGGGCTTTCTCTAGTTGTGGCGAGCGGGGGCTACTCTTCATTGTGGTGCATGGACTTCTCATTGTGGTGGCTTCTCTTGTTGCAGAGCATGGGCTCTAGGCGTACGTGCTTCAGTAGTTGTGGCTCGCAGGCTCTAGAGCACAGGCTCAGTAGTTGTGGCGCACGGGGTTGGTTGCTCCGTGGCATCTGGGATCCTCCCAGACAAGCGCTCCAAGTCTCTCTCCTGCATTGGCAGGCAGATTCCTAACCACTGTACCACCAGGGAAGTCCCCCAATTCTGGAAAAGTTTAAGCCACTGAATATGTATAAAATATGAAAAACTTTGTGCTCATTAAAGATTTCTGGCTACTTTGTTAATTTAAGAACATAAAAATGTGCTTCACTTAAAAGACTCATTTGGTGGTGGGATGAACTGGGAGACTGGGATTGACATATATACACTAATATGTATAAAATGGATAACTAATAAGAACCTGCTGTAGAAAACAATAAATAAAATAAAATTCAAAAAAAAGAATCATTTACGCAAATAATAATTATAAATCTCTATTGTGTTTGCCTTGAAATGTTTTAAATTTTAGTTCAAATGCCTCTGCAAGACTCTTTTAATGAATCTGCATTAATTAGTTTGGGGAAGCTGTTAGAAAGAGAGGAGCAGGGAGGAAGAGAGAGAGAGGGAGAGAAAGGAGACTTAAGAACAGAAGAAATTACCAACATTAAAGCAAAACAAAGAAAAATCATCTTCATTGGTTTAGTGTACTTTCCTGTGCTAAGTAGATACAAAAGGTACTCATTTTTCAAAAAGGTACCTTGGGGAAATAGGAGGAGAGGAAAAATAAGTGTTATTTATTACAATTTTTCCATGTGGAGCTCTACTTAATCAGAATCATTTTCAAAACTATCCTCAGGGCTTCCCTGGTGGCACAGTGGTTGAGAGTCCGCTTGCCGATGCAGGGGACACGGGTCCGTGCCCCAGTCCGGGAGGATGGGCCCGTGAGCCATGGCCGCTGAGCCTGCGCGTCCGGAGCCTGTGCTCTGCAACGGGAGAGGCCGCGATAGTGAGAGGCCCGTGTACCGCAAAAAAACAAAACAAAACAAAACAAAAACTATCCTGATCTGTCATTTCTCCACTAACACTTCATTTTTATTGTCTGAAAGCAGCAAGTTTGTTCAGATTAAGACAAGCTTCTTTACTTTTTTTACGAGAGTTTATTTCCTGATTTAATGAGACCATTTCCAAACAAAAATTATATTCATTCACACGTTGCTGAAAACGGAAGAATGGCACCATACTGTAATTAAAATAAGCTTAGCAGAATTCCAGCCTATATTCCCTAGGCAAGAGCATATTCTTGGCATCAAGATCTATCTGCAGAGCCTATATTAGCAGTTTTATCTTTATTTTCCTTTTGTATATAACCTTGGATTCTCATGATTTGCAGCAACGTGATTTAGAAAACATTCTGCATCTTGATAAAGCCTTTCAATTTTCTTTCTTCCATATTTCAAAAGAGAAAAATTCAGAGTACTTAAAATAATGTGTTTTATCTACATCAATTGGGAGGAGTGTGTGGCAAAAAGCCAATTTCACTGACCAAAGTACCTCTAAAATACACATGGAGTTATACAGTTAAACTCAGAAGACAGCCTCAAGAACAAAAAGTTCTGCAGCGGATTAAGGTTTTCAGCTACTGCTCCAGAAAGAGAAGCCCTTTTTCTAGTTAACTCCCAAAAGACACCTCCCTCTCCCATCCTGACAACTTTCACTACAGAGCTTCAGCACCACAATTTTATTTCTCATTTTCTTCTTGCATCTTTGGAAAAGCATCGTTACAATATGAACCCATTTCACACATCTCGTACTTGTTTTGGCTCACCTATGGGTCTCATAAATGATATCTAATTTCGTGATAAAACTCTGAAAACAATGTTGTGTACGTTTGAGGTCTCCTCAGGAAGGCAGCACTTACTCATATACCTCAAAATAAAAAGTCAACAAGAATAAGCCCTTAAACAAATAAGACACTAATTTCTTCCATCTCCTGAAAGAGGAAGTTTGCCCTAAGAGGGAAAAACATTCACTGAAGCCTTTGACATTGAAAAGTTTACTGCACTACTTCTTCTCATATATGCACTGATCAGAAGAGTTTAATATTGAAACATTTCTTTCATAGAATTTTTAGAAATTATCTGAATAAGTAAATTGCATATTTAAAACACTTAAATCATGATTTAAAAAAATGTTTAACACTAAAATTTTCCAGAAAAAAAGAAAAACTTTTATTTTCTGGCTCATCCATTCCCAACTTCACAACTTCAGGGGATGGGAGTAAGGGGCAAAGTGGTATGTCAGCCCAAGGGATAACTACACCTTACACAGCTCCATGGTATCTAGTTCAGTGCTGGGCACACCCTATGCACTTGTAAAAAATTGTGAAATTGAGCAAAATAAATATGACAGGGCAGGTAACCCAGGGAATAGTTTTTCATTTATTCAACACATGTTTACCCTGTGCCTACTTCAGCCTAAGCACTATACCAGGCCTTAGGGATATAAGAATTAACAAGATGGACAGTCTTGGCCCTCAGGTAAAATCAAGTCAGAAAGAAGAGACGGACATCAAACAACTGTGATAAGTATCATACCTGAGAGGTGCAAGTGCTATGAAATATAAAGAGAGCCCCACCTTAGTCTGGGAGTAAGGAAGTCAAGGAAGGCTTTCCTGAGGGATACTTGGGCTGAGACTTCATAGAGGGCTGGAGCGAGAGCATTCAGGGCATGTACAAAGTCCCTGCGTTGAGAATAAGCATCATGGCTAGAGTGTAATGGGACTGAGGGATGCTAAGAGAGGAAGAGGATGAGGCACATATCGGATCTTGCAGTTCTCTCCAGGAAGTGATAAGGACTTTTGACTTTATTCCAATGAAATGGAAAGCTTTTGAAAGGTGTTAAGCAGGGGAACTACCTGATCAGATTTAAATTTGTACGCCATCATTCTATCTGCTATTTGAAGGATGACGGGGAGAAAGCATGGTAGAGCTCCTGACCAAGACTCTACTCCCCAGCTCCCAGCCTCAGTTCTCTCCAACTTTTAAATCATAACATGTGCCATTCTAGATCTTACATAACATTTAATTTCTGTGCCACTTTTTAGAGTACCTGTTTACATACCACCTGATCAAATACTAACCATTTCCTATTTCAAATCCCCCTAACCTTTACTCTCTACTCTCTCTATTCTTATGTCCTGTATCCTTTTGTATATCTTCATGCTAAGTGTACAACAGGTATTCAGTGAATACTTCCTAAGTAGATTTAAGGCTAGACTAGCAAGTGTCTTTTAAGCTGTGGAACAGAGAACTGCCAAGACTCCCTTCTGGTGTGCATTTCCCTAGTAGACACCAAGCCTGTATTTTTAGAAGGAACAGTGATGGCCAATGGTGCATGTGAGAGGACTGAGGGTTGAGGCTATCGTCACTTTTGTCGAAGAAACAAGATTAGTTATGGTCACCTCCCATCATTCACCCCAACTATCTTTCTCCACCCGTAGACCTAACCCATGGCCTGTACTACACAGATATAAGTTGAGCTGTCCTCTTCTCCCCATTTCCACCCTAGAAGACTCAACTGTGAAGTTCACATAGTTTCCAAATAGCTAGAGGTTGCAAGGCACACCTATACGTTTATTTATCTCCTGAGTTTGAAATCAAATTTCTCTGTATTAAAAAACTTCAGTTAGGACATTGCTGCAGTCAGAATGTTGCCCTAAATTTTAGGGAAACAGACAAAATAATAGGGAACAAAGAGAAAAAGAACAAGAGAAAGCCTAGTGAAACTTCAAGTTTCACTAGTTTGCCAAGTTCATACCTTTGCAGCCAGCCGACACTCCATCACCCTGATATTGAAATGAGAAGTTGCTGCTTTATTCATTTCCACACAACTGTTGGCAATCACAAACACTGCTCCACTTGGGAGTTTCACATCAGTTGCCCTCAGAGGACTAAATTCTATTAACTTGGCCTATTGAGAAAAAAATTACAGGTGAGATATAATGTATTAGAATTCAGAAAATGTTTAACCATTTACGCATTTATTTACCTTAGTAAAAATTTTTCCCAAAAATGCATCCATTTATTCATTCAAATATTATTTACTGACTTCCAGGCACTGTACTAGGCACTGGAGATACAAGAGTGAACGGGACAGACACTGTCCCTGCCCTCATAGAGATTACAATCTAGTGGGAAAAGCAGTCAAGTAGTCAAATACACTGCCAGGTTGTGTTAAAAGGGTAGCAAAGCACAGGGCACTATATAGAAACACAGTTGTAGCACCTGATCAGATATAGCCTAGTGTAGGTGCCCCTGAAAAAAAGGGAAATCTAAACTGAGACTTAAAGGATGAGCAAAAGTAGGACAGACAGAGGGTTTCTTTACCCAAACAGGATGTCAAGAAGAGGGAAGAGTATAAGCAAGTTCACAGGCAAAAAATAATATGAGGTGTTAATAGAGTTTTGGGTATTGCAATTTAGCTGGAGCTTAGTGTTTGAGGGATGAGCCACGGTGAGAGGATAGAACTGAGCGGAGGGCAGGCAAAGCAGGGGTCAGATCATGAAGTACTTTGCAAGCCCAAAGAATCTGGACTTTGTTCAGACTCTACAGCTAACTTATGTTAACAACAGGACTCTTGCCATCATGTCTGCTTGTCAGGTCTCATCCAAAAGACCCAGAGTATTTTCTTAGCATTAAACCAAATTTCCTCATGCCTCCTGTCTTTGGCTTAGGGGAATCAACAACAAATACTCTTAATAAGAAGAAATCCAGGTATTCTTGGAAAATAGCCAAACCTGTAGGAATCTGATCGAAAACTAAGAAAAGATTTTAAAGAAATGTCTGTTTCTATTTTGGAAATGGTCAGTTTATGGCAACTATGAAAACCTCTGCTCTGTCTATGGGAGTTGATAACCAAGGGGAAGTGGTATTGGCTAAGGAATTCATTCCTGGCTTCCTGTCAACATTCTTTTCCCTACCACTAAAACCCCAAAAATGTTGGCAGAGAAAAATGATACCATAGAGTAAATTACAAAAAAGAGGACGAGTGAATATATGTGGTAAGAGAACTAACATTTGGGTTTAAAACCAACAGGAGATTATGAAAATGCCATGAGACGAAATGATTTGGGACAAGAGCGAGAAAAGAGGTCCCAATAACTAGGGAGTTGAGAAATCGCATGCTAACAATGCATTAGAAGGACGGGGGAAAAAAAAACCTAGACACCTGAGGTATGATTCTGGAAGCTTAAGGGAGAGGTGATCAACATGAAACAGAGTCAGTGAACTGGTGATAGCCTTGAATTACAAAGCAGTTGAGAAATACCATCCTACAATAGAGCCTAAAAGAATAGGCTGCCCAGAAAAAAAAGCACTCTGGGGATCTCAAGCCCTTCCTCTCTGGGTGAACATTCCCTGGTGGATATTTCCAAATAACTCAATGCCACCTACAGTTCCTTCTTCTGCAAGAAATGATATGGACTGGTCCATCCCTCCTCCTTCAGTGCCAATGTAATGCTCACTCTTGGTGCAGATTTCTGCAAGTTCCACCTGGAAAAGTAAAAATTGATTTGCACTGTGAGTAAATCATAATCTGTTGCTCATTCATTTCCTACTCCAGACATGACATATGGGTTTGAATTCCAGTGCAGCTCTGATCAACTGATAGTAGCTGCCTGCAGCATTGGGTTAACAAGAAGTCCAAGACTACCATTAAGCTCAATAGGAAAACATACAAAGATCAATTAATGTCTGCTATGAGTTGGAATGAGATATTGACTGTGCATGTTGTGTACAGTCTCGTCCCGCAGTACCCATAGGAGATTCGTTCCAGGACCCCACGGGATACCAAAATCTGAGGATGCTCAAGTTCCTTACATAATATGTCAAAGTACTTGCACATAACCTATGCACATCCTCTCATATACTTTAGATAATCTCTAGATTACTTATAATACTTAATACAATGTAAATACTATGTAAATAGTTGTAAATACAATGTGAATGCCGCGTAAATAGTTGCCAGTGTGCAGCGAATTCAAGTTTTGCTTTTTGGAACTTTCTGGACTATGTTTCGGAATATTTTTGATCCATGGTTGGTTGAATCTGCAGATGCAGAACCTGAAGATATAAGGAGGGCCGACTGTATTTGCTATCCCTAAAAGACTCCACAGGGCAAGCAGTTTCTCCTGTATTTGCTCCATTCCCTCTCTAGACTGGCATCACCAAAAATCTCATATGGGCACTCACTCATTTCTGCCTCAGCTTTCTTTGTCTCCCAACAGTGGACTACTCCACAGTCTCCCCACAGCCAAAGTGAGGTCATCCAACCTTATTTTCCGGTCCAAAAGTAATGCTGCCTCTGCGGCTTTTCCATTAAATATAAGAATCAGAACTAGTGTCATCTCATCAGACACACCTTCCTCCAATCAAGATGAAGAGGCCCAATACATTAACACATTTCTAATCCAAACTGAAAATGTCAAAATATCTATTTAAGAATCTTCTATGGCTTCCTACTCCTTCTATGTCTTCTTATTTCCTAGAAATAAGTTCAAATTCCTCAACCTGGCATTTCAAAGCTTTCCAAAATGTGCAACCAATTTACACATGAAATCATATTATCTACCACTCTTTTCCAATTATATTTGTCTCCATGACCATCTCACACATTTATGTAACCTGGTATTATTTCCTGTCTTCTCTCATATAAATCCTATTGCCATCCAATATCCGGCTTATTGGCTACCTACTATGGGCAAGTCCACTCAAATCTTCCTCCATCACACAGTCTTCCTCAAATACTGTTCCCTCTATGGCATCCTGCTTCTCTAAACCCTCACAACACTAACAGTATCATCCACTTACCCTACTATTCATTCACTCATTCATTTTTTTTTTTCTTCTAAGACTTGGTTCAAGCCTTTATTTCTTACCTGTTTTACTGGAAGATTCCCCTACAGTGATCACTGTGAAGCACTGATATAATCATCTCTTGCTTGCTTGGTTGTCAGTGACTTGACGATCATACTTCTCATTGTGGTACACAACATCTCTAATGACTTATCCCTTGCTCACACCTCCATCCTGCTCTCCCACCACTAACCCCGTAAACCCTAGGCTCAGACCACTGGAAAAATGCTGTTCCTCGTCACCCCCAGGCTCTCTCAGTGCCTTTAAAACTGTGATTTCCTGTCCTCCTCACTCAGTACTCCTCTCTCCAGAATCCCCCACTCGTCATCAGGATTAACCCAAGTGTCACCTCTCCCTCGGAGCCCTCACCACCGCCCAAAGGCACACACACTCCACATAATCCCTCTTCTGTGCTCTCTGTATATAACTCTATGCTCATTTACCAAACCATGCTTTAAGTGTGGCCTTCCTTGTGTGTTTATCCATCAGTCTATGACAGCCCATGCAGTGCCCAGACCAGAGCCCACTTAACTAATAAGACTGAATCACATAGTGTTCATTATTGCTCTTTAATAGTGTCAGGTTTCAATCACATCTATTTACCCCAGAAAATTGTCAGTCCTGTGAGAAACAGATAAAATAGCTGTTTCTTTTGTGTCCCCTACCTCACACAATGCCGAGCACAAAGTAAATACTCAAAAAACACCCGCTGCTTTCACTTTCTGAGAATAGCTGCCCAAACATCATTTGAGAGATCCTGTAAGTGTCATATTCCTTGTTGGATTCACTAACATTAATTATGCTTCATGACACGAGGTCAGCTTGGTATTTTGACGTAATGGGCATTGTGCGTGGCCTAATGAACACACCAGAACCAGCGATCTTCCATGATAGGCACATTAAAAATAAATTAGTAATCAAAAGGTCAAAACACTTGGATTTTAAAATGTAAAGAAACAATATACCCAGGAGAAGAAGTCCATGCATGATTCATGAGGAATGAGGAGACCTGGGTCCCTACATAACTGTGACAGTGGACAGTGTGAAAAGTCACCTCCCCACAACAGCAGTAACAGCCATACTTACATGCTAAGTACCTGGCATTATCTCTCCTTTAGGCCTCCAAACAACTCTGCTTATCCTTATTATACAGATGAGGAAAATGGGACTTGGAGACAAACAGTGGAGAAGCCAGGATTTGAACCTCATCTGCCTGACTCCAAAGTTTGTGTTCTTTTCACACTGGACTTTTATTACTCCCCTACCCACTGCCAAATAATATAACCAAATAACATAGCCTATTTTTTTCACTACCTCACAGGGATGTGAAATGACAAATGAGATCACCAAAATTTAAGTATTCTCCCTCTTAAGAGGAAAGAAACTAAGGCATCGAGAAGTATATGCTTATTAATTGTTTTTAAAAGCCTCTGAATGTGTGGCAACAACCGTATACTTTAAGAGAAATATGTTAATTTTTCCAGACTACCTATCTCCACGAAATTCAGAGGGACCCCAGGAGTCCCCAGCATCTCTGTGTCAAGGAGAGTCCATCTGCAGGGCTGCAGACATCCCTATACTTTGCTGATACCTCTCATGCTGAATTCTGGCATGTGGATCTCATTACTGGACAGACAATAACCATGAATTTTAAATGGAGGAAACAAAAAGAAAATGAAGATAAGAAAGATGAAGGAAAGGATGACTCATTTTACAGTCCCCCCGGAATGCATGAGGAATTCAGTGGTAAATATAGAGGAAAGAAACTAGTACCAGAAGCTTCCAAATCTTGATTAAAGCCCCAACCCTCCTGCCAACTAGCTAGGTGACCTTAGATTGCTTAACTTTTCTGAGTTTCCATTTCTTCATAGACTATTAATAACAATAATAGTTTTCACAGTTAGAATTTATTGACTACTTACTATATGCCAGGTATTGTTCCAATTGCTTTATATGAATTAATCATTTACTTCTCACAATGACCCTATAAGATAGGTATCTCCTCCTCATTTTACAGACAAGGAAACTGAATGGGTTTATTAGTTGAGACTAGGCTAGTAATTACTAAAGCTGAAATTCAAACTCCACTTGTCTAACCCCAGAGCCCACACTCTTAATCACCAGGCTATATTACCTCCCATCCATAATATGGAGAAAAATACCTACCTCCCTGGCTACGGGATTATTGTGATTATCCAGTGAATTAGATAAAAACATCCCATAAACTCTAATGAAGTATACAATTTTAAATTTCATTATTTTTACAGAATGAATAAGGAATCATCTGATTTATACAAGTAAGTAGCTAAATCCCAAGCCAAATGTAAAAACAGGTTTAATTAACCTGGAACTCAGGACTATTTTTTGAACTGCTCAGGGGGAGTTCCCTAGTGGTTAGGATTCCAGGATTTCACTCTCATGGCCCTGGGTTCAATCCCTGTTTGGGGAACTAAGATCCCACAAGCCTCGAGGCGCAGTCAAAAAAAAAAAAAAATTTTTTTTTAAACTGTTCGGGGAAAGAGAGAACTTAAAAGATTCTGGGTGTCCCTAAGAGAACCAATTCAACAATAAACTGTTAATGGAGCTTGAGACAAACAGGAGAATGTGTGTTCCATTTAAAGCATCCCAGTCTAGGGCTTCCCTGGTGGTGTAGTGGTTAAGAATCCTCCTGCCAATGCAGGGGACACGGGTTCAAGCCCTGGTCCGGGAAGATCCCACATGCTGCGGAGCAACTAAGCCCGTGCGCCGCAACTACTGAGCCTGCACTCTAGAGCCCCCAAGCCACAACTACTGAGCCCACATGCCACAACTACTGAAGCCTGCGTGCCTAGAGCCTGTGCTCCGCAACAAGAGAAGCCACCACAGTGAGAAGCCCGCACACCACAATGAAGAGTAGCCCCCGCTCACCGCAACTAGAGAAAGCCCACGTGCAGCAATGAAGACCCAAAGCAGCCAATAAATAAATAAAAATCTTAAAAAATAAAAAAAAATAAAGCATCCCAGTCTAAATTGGAGGGTGGGGGGAGGGGGGGAGGTGGGCAGCGGGGAGAGGCGTGGAGGGGGGAGTCCCTGCCTGCCAAACAAAACATGCCTGTAGTATAAAATTCAACTGCAGGCCCACAGGCGGCTCCCCAGTGGCCCTAGCCCTTCACCCCCATACTAAAAGCAAAAAGGTCAATTTTTTTCTAATTTCAAATCTTGTTTAAGGAAAAACTTGCATGCCTCCGACAATAAGCAAAAATCAGTGCTAGGCCCATAGCCTTAGCCAGGGATGGCATGACCTGAACTCAGAGAACAATTAATGGAGGGGCCTTAACAGCAGGGGATGTAAACGGGAGCAGAGAATGCCTATCATTCTGGGTGATGTGAGGGAGACATGTGAGTCTGCCTCACCCTTTCTACCCTTGGGAACACCGGAAATAGAACCGTAAAATGTGCTCCAAGAGTTATAATCAGGCAGAGTGACGTGCAAAGACACTAAATACTCCATACACACTTGAATTATGTAAAATATCAAGAGATTTCATGAGAATAAGAAGGAGCTGTCAAAAACACATTAACAAAAGTGTATGGAAAGAAGCCTATCGGAAGTTAACTTCCAGAACAAACCGAATCACGCTTTGTGACCACCTAGAGGG